ATTTCTAGGTATATATTTCACATCTGAAAATTAGTTTTTAGTGATTTTGCTTTTAAAATCATAGAGATTTAGCACGTGAGGATTTTAATATGGGATAACATGTATTTGAAAAGTAATAGTTTATAACATTTTTTAAATGAGAGAAACAATAGCAGTTAATTTGGAAGATGAAATTAGAATAGTTCACAAATTATGTAAACTAGGCAGTTTAGCAAATAGAACATAGTTTGCATTATTTAGGAAATTGACATTCTTTTTTCCCATTTTAGGACATAGATAGTGCAGCTACATTTCCCCATGACATTTAGATTTTTTAGTTTATGAACAAAGAGTACTATAGAACTTCTGAAGGTGTCTTTGTGTTAAAAGGCCTAAACTGGTCTCAGACCTTTCACTTTATACAGACAGCAAAACATGGTCATGCCATTGTCTATTTTAATCCAGCACCTTCGTACAATCCATTTCTTTGAGTAATTGTCATTCTTAAGAAGAGATGGAATAATGATGACTGATGTGTTTGTTTTGGTGGGTGGATGCAGACCAAAAGTGTCTGAGGTCGTTGCATTCTGCTAAAACTAAAAGCAGACTCCGAAATTTCTCTCAACCCCATTCCTATGTTTAGCAACCATTAGAGTCAGTAAATTTCTCTGCGTGTCAGTTCACAGTCTCTTTTATGAAATGTAATCACCGGGTGTATATGGCAGAGCCTCCTTAAGCTGAAACTGCTTTGCAATTCCAAATAACCAACTTTCATCACCTGACTAGAATCTCTATTGTCCTTTAATAAAAGTAGAATTTAAATCAACAGTAAAGCCCTAAAAACTCAGAGTCCCAATTCCACGTGTTCTCAGTTTTAACAATTTTACTGAATTTAATAGTAAGAAATGTTTAGTAATTGGTCATGTATATTTCAGGAAAAAATATTTTTGCTTTTCAAGGTGAGCTAATAATACATACTTATATGATAGCTGTATGGTTTCTAACTATGGGGATTCACTTTTAGTGTTTTATAGCGGCAAAAGTAAAAATTTTCTCATTTGGAAAAGTTTTAAAAAGGAATACATTTAAAAATTTTAGGGCTTTTCTCTTTGATCTGGTGGTTTTGCAGACTTTTGAAGTATCCTTTGTATATCTCTGGTTCTCACTCTTGTGGTTGCTAGGAGACAACATTCCTTAGGCCTGAATATCCTACTTGTTGCCCAATTTAGTCACCAAGGGTGTTATGGTAGAGTTAATTTTTAGAGCTCTTTGAGAAAGTCACCTTAATATTTTAAAAAATAGCATCATAGAGGGAGATTACTCAGAAATATATATATCCTATCCGCTTTTTATTTCATCACATTTTATTTTACTGTTCTTGTATTTGCATAAAATATTTTTGAATCTTTAACTCTGCAAGCCAGATTATTTAGTTTGGGGAAGGATTTGTGATTTATTTGTACAACTCAGTAGGGCATATCTGGTCACATATGTGGTTGATTTGGAAGACGCAGCGGGCCGTTGTGTCCATGGCCTAGTGGCCAAGCTCAGCACATGATCCCTGATTAATAGGACACTGTAAGGAGAATCATGCACCTTCAGTAAGTGACCCCATTACTTCAGATTTACACAAACACATTTTATTTTAGAAAAACTCATTTAATATGCTTTTATATTTGTGGTAAACAATGCTTAACCATTTACATCTCGACGAACAGGTATCCTGACATAACATAGATGTTCTGCCACATTTTTCCATTGGCTAACTGCCGTGTGGTTACTTAACAAGCACTTCAACCTGTAGGACCTTTGACTCTGAGACACATCTTCAGAGAAATGTAGTTGCTGTTTCTACACTGGGATCTGTTTCATCTTTTTTCTGGTCTTTTGGTGCAGAAAGCTAGGAAGTCTCTGTCTTCAGCACTTTCACCTTCTCTGGACTTGACTTTAGTCACTGTCAGCTTTGAGGAGCTTGCTAGGTGGCTTTCAAGATCTCTTTCCCGCTTTAAGGTTTAATGATTATTTACTTAGACTGAACAGATTAGATGATTATTAAATATTAGTGCCGATAACTTGATCAGTAAATAAAATTAGCTTCAATCACTGCCTTTTGGTAACTCACAACTTATACCACATAGTGGTGAGTTTCAATTCACTGCCTTATTTTTGTTTTATTTTTATTGGTTAGGCTACACAAAGAGAGAGATTGTATTTTAGAAACCATTTATCAGAATAGGTACTCAGAAAGGATTTTTATTAATAATTTCCCTGGGTAAGAGGGGATATGAATGCGATGTGAATGCAATATGAATGTCAGTATACTGGGAGCACTTCAATGATTTATGGGGAACATATGAACAAATGGGGACTTCCCTGGAAATTTCAGTTTACATGGTCACCATAGGTATGCATCATAACTGAATACTTCACTACTCATAGATAAAAAATATTGAGCGCAACAAAATCTATCAACTAAGCACATTTACACAAAATGAATATTGGTCAATTATTCCTGATAAAGAATTTGTTATCCCATGTTTAGAATTATTGCTATAATATAGTGAGAAGGGCACTTGGAAAAGCAAAGGAACTTTTGCTTCTTAAATAGTGCCAATTATCAGGAAAGAGGAGCAATATTTCATTTTAAACTACCTGAGGGAAGTGACCCTGTGTTTTCTGAGTAACAATCTAGGGCGAACTCAGAAGATACCATCTGGTTCATATCCATAAGTGTTAATCTTTGCCTGTCTGTAAAATCAGAAGCTAAGCTTTTCTAATGTTTCACTGTTGGTTCTTTTGTGATCTTCTAGCAGAACCCTTGTTGAGCAAACATGGAGCAAGTATCATGAGTAACTCGATTATTTTTCATAGTGTAGGGAAGCATTAAAAAAATTACTGAATCACATTGTGAGAAACTGAATCACGTTTCAGTTTCAAAATGAATTGTTTCTCAAACCTTCTGAACACATCAAGGGGAAAGTCTCAACTAAGAATCTTTGTCAACTTTCTAACTTTTTGTAACAGGTGGTGCACCCCCTCAGGTTCAGTTTTCTGCAGACTACAATATACAGATCCAATTTTATTTATTTTTAGCATTGCCTTCTATTTATGGCATGAGATGATAATTTTTCAATTTATGGTACTGAAATTTAGTTATCTTTTAATATAAATTTAGTTCAGTAAAAAAAGTGAATTGACTTAAGTAAATACTCAGTAAATGATAAATATTCAGTAAGTGATAGTGTGGTTGGAACGCAGGGCAAATTTGTGAAGGAAGGGCTAAAGTTTGAGAAACACTGTTATAAGAGATATTCTTGAGTAACATCTAGGAGATGATTGTTTCTAGAACAGTTATCGTGGGTTCCATGTACTTCATAAAGGAAAAATGAGCAAAGTAGTGATGCATCTTACTAAATTTTGAAATCTGTTTCGAAGTAATGAAAAGAATGGAAAGAAGATGATAATCTTGATTGGGTGAGGATCTCTATGCTAGTTGTTCCTCACTTGCTCTTCTTTGATCCTCCTGAAAACCTTGACGAATTAGTATTAATTTGCATGCTAAGGCTCAAGTCTGAACTCCAAGCCTTTCTTCTAACTACACTGTTGAGATATCAGCTTACTGGCTGTTGCACGTCAACCACAGGTATGCTGTAGGTGCGGAATGTGTGGTAGAGATGGCCTTGTGGAAAAGCATGGATTTTGGTGTAAGACTTACCTGAGTTTGAATCTCAGGCATTTACTCTGTGCAAACTTAGTATGCTAGTTACTATGCCATTTCCTATGTGAAGATTTTTCTGCCGTGATTTTCTGTTCATCTGTAAATGTAGATAATTATAACTAGCTTACAGAGTTTTTGGAAGGATTAAATGAAATAGCATATGTGAAGTATTTAGCAAAGTACCTGGTAAGTAAGCAGTTACTCAATTTTAGCTCCTTCATTCTATTTAAAAAAATCCTGTACTCTGTCTGTGTGAATTGAGACTAAATATAATTATTTGATATTCATATGAAATGGAGAAGTGATTTTATATGCTCATGAACAAATATTTGATTCCTTCAACAGCCCTCACCCTTGCCTTAAGAGAGTAATTAGGGAGGATAGAGAGACAGAGCTATCATTTAGCTACATACCTTCACAAGTTATCAATAATAAATATAATGCATTTTACTTCTTTCTCTCACCTCCTCTCCTGGTATCCACAATGAAATGGGCTGCCTTTATATTAATAGAAGATTTGAAGTAAGGACTTCTGTGTCATGAAAGTCTGTTTCACTTCATTGTATAATGAAATATTAAATACATATAAGTAAATTTATTTTGGTCTAACTTAAATAGTGTATTTCATCAATAATAGCACATGTTTTTCTATACTGGTTATTGATAACTGTTAAAAACAGGTTTAGGAATGCCATTCAGACTTTTATAATTTGAAAAAAGACTTCCAGAATATCATCCCATCACATTCAGCTATGAAAATGACTCTTACCTCCTTTCTTTCCTTTTACTAAAATCTTCAAAGAACCTGTCAGGCTTCCTTAGGTCATTTGAACTTGTGTGCTTACCTTCTACAATGGAAATAAAAATGAAAGATTTTTTCACAAGGGGATATTCAAATCTTTGTGGAAAAGTCATATACAAGAAAACACTGTATGTTGTCAAAATGTATCCGTTCATCAGAATGCATCAGTATTTTCATTTATTTTCAGAATTAAAGAGTTTGAAGAAGCTGTCAATTTCTTCACCTGGGCTATTAAAATTAACCCGTGTTTTCTGGATGCTTACATTGGACGGGGAAATTCTTACATGGAATATGGTCATGGTGAAGCCACCAATCAAGCACAGAAGGACTTTCTGAAAGCGTTGCATTTTAATCCATCATATGTAAAATCCAGAATTAGTTTAGGCTATAATTTGCAGGTAATATTATATAACAACATTTGAGCATTGAAAGCATCTTTTGACAGGAGAAAGATATATTTGGGCCCTTTACTAGTGATGAGGATAAATGTCATTTGTTTGGTTATGAGCATTTACCTTTCCCTTACCTTTAGTTTCCAGAGTAGCAGTGGGGATCAGGAGTTCAGTTAGTTACAGGGACCTGCCTAGGTAAGCCTGGGGACCTGTATGCTAGTTAGATGAGGAGCTTTTCAATCTGAGTTTCCTTAATGTCGGCACCTCTCCCTACTTTTCCCCCACATTTACAAACAACTTTTAAAATTCACCCGATGAATTTCACATATGAGAACCTGGCTAACATTTATTTTACTAGCTTATACCTGGGCTCCGTAAGTTTTGTCCTATTGAATTAGTGAAAAGCTAAAGGGAATGAACAATGTATGAAAGTTTTGAAGTAGACTGCAGCCATACGGTGGGTCAGACAGACACTGTATTAGAACTTCTGAATTCAGTCATCTTCCAAATTGCTGCGAATTAGGACTTGCTGGGAAGGCAAGAGGCCAGGCATTTGTCCTTCCAGCAAGATAGACAAGTGCTACTCTATGTGTTGCCAAGCAAGTCTCAGAGTGATTTCTGGGGCACTCTAGCCTGACCCATATACCAAAATTTCCTAACTCACTGAGCTATTTGCGCTAATAAAAAATATAGTGACATTTTTGTAGTAAGGTGCTTAAATGTGCTGCATTTGTCATGAAAAGTAACTGAGTAATCTTAAATCTTCTTTTTATCCCTTTCAATATTCAAAATTTTAAATTATAATTTGCAGAAATTCCTGTTAGTAATCTTCCATTAAAGTTGATGTATTAAAAAAAAATAGATGAGTTTGGCTGATCTAAGACTGATAATATTGGAGGGGGTGGGAGTGGTAGTAATAATGAGGTGTGCCCTAGAACTTATTAATAGGAGATATAAGATTGCTTTCTGAGAGCTGAACACAAAATTGGCCATTATTGGATTACGGTACAAATTTGCAAAGTCAATTTAAAGAGATGAGGTGACTTTCAAGGCAACTAGAGCTGACTGTAATCCAATGAAATGTGTTAGCATCATTCATTGTATTCAATAGAACTTTTTTTTTTGAAACAGCATCTTGCTCTGTTGCCCAGGCTGAGCCTCCCAAGTAGCTGGCCACAGCCACATGCCACTACACCTGGCTAAGTTTTGTATTTCTGTTTTTTTTGTAGAGACAAGGTCTTGCTATGTTGCTCAGGCTGGTCTTGAACTCCTGGTTTCAAGCGCTCCTCCCACCTTGGCTTCCCAAAGTGCTGGGATTACAGGCATGAGCCACCATGCCCAGCCTCAACAGACATTTACTGAGCTCCTAATATAGAATGGGGAACCACTCAAGGCCTAGAGATATAGCAATGAACAAGATATATTTGTTTCTTCTTGCAAAATTTACTACCGAGTGGAGAGACAGGCATCAAACACTTAATCATATATATAGTTATTTGATTATAATCATGATAAGTGCAACTAAGAAGAAGTACGGATTTTAGTGCAACTTAAAACAAGGGAACCTAGCTTTGTTTGAGGGGTGAGAGGGGGTTTCTTGAGAAGTTAACATTTAAGGTGAGGTGTGAAAGTATGGGTCTAGGATACAGTGTTCCAGAGAGAACAGCCCATTAGAAAGACTTGTAAGAAGGAGATAGAGGGCCCCAGTGGATGGAATATTGTGGGCTAGGAAGAGGCTGGAGTTGAAGGCCTTATAGTCCAATTAAAAATGTGAATAGCACTAATCAGAGAAGTGACATCAGATTTGCACTTTATGAAGATCTCGCTAGGTATATAGTATCCTGAGAAAGGATTGAAAAGTACATCAGTGTAAAGAATTGAATCAGGAAAGAAGGACTGAAGGAGAGTTAGGGCCTTTCCAATTCTGCCCAGGGGAAAGAGCAACAGTTTGTTCAACAAATACCTGTAGATTTCCTTTACTACTTGCCTAGCATTAGGGATACAGAGGTGAGTACAGCAGACGTTGTCAGGAGCAGAGATCCCATCTTGATGTGATTTGCAGTTTAATATGCCAATAACCTCATCTCAATTTTCCCAATTCGTTTCTTAAATGAACTTGTTATTACAACGTGGATTTCCAAATATTAATAGGTTACACAGAGAGAGAAAATATTTTCTAATCAAAAAATAGGGTCCAGTTCCCTTAATAGTTAAATTTCTTTTTAGTTCTATGCGAGAGTCATTGGGCTCAGCGTGGTTAAAGTGAGTGAGCTTCTGAGATTCTGGCAAATTGGGTTTTTGAGCCATGAGAAAAAGACAGACCTTGGACCATGCTGAATTTATTAATTCACTGCCTTCCTGTAGGGAGGCATTCAGTTGCCAGCTGGTCTTCCCTAGGAAACACTCTGACATTGTTCTGTTAACAGTGCCCCTCTCCTGACCTTTTTCCTTTCTTTACCAGTTGGCACTAAGGTTGGTAGAAACAGATGCTTGGTAGATTTACATGCATTTTCCATGGAATAATGTATAGTATCCTAAAATTCCAGATGCTGGTACAATTTATGGAAATAGGTTTCACACCATTAGTTTATTCATTTATTTATTCAACATGTGCTTATTTTGTTATGTATAGTATGTATATATTAGGTATTACCAGAGATTCAGTGCCAAGCAAATAAATACAATTCCTGCCTGTGTGTGGAGCTCAACATAAATTTTTTGGCAATTGTCAGAAGCATTGATGTTTCACATGGTGGCCATAATTTTATGTTGTCCAAGATTGGTATGAGAGATGACTGCAATTAAATTTATTTTAGCTAATTAAAATTTAATCATAAACACTTGTAGACAATTAGTCAATCGAATACACTCACAGTATAGTCTACTTTATTTAAATACCTTAGATTTAGCACAATATAAATATACCCTTACTAGAGGTTTTATTTGATTGAGTGAGTTAGAATTATAAATATTTGGCATGTTACGGATTATTTCTTACATCATGTAATCGGAAAATTATTTTAGGCCCAAGGAAAATTCCAGAAAGCTTGGAGGCACTTTACCATTGCTACAGAAGTTGATCCAAAGAGCTACCTAGCCTATGAAGGAAGAGCTGTGGTCTGTCTTCAGATGGGTAATAATTTTGCTGCAATGCAGGATATTAATACTGCCATAAAGGTAAAAAATCCACTTAGATTGTATTATTATTAGCATAAATTAACGTCGTGAATAAATAGGTTTAAGAAAGAAGTTCTCTGTTACCTTTTTAAAGTGACTTGGGGAGAAAATAATGTGTGTGTTTTTTTTTTCCCCTGAGTGATCCCTAGGGTAGAGTTACGGTTTGGCAATTTTATAACCTAAATGGATTTAAAATTCAAAACCCCAAATTCCTGGTATGTGATGATTCCTCTCAGTAAATACAGTTTATAGTTTCATGATACATCAATATTATTTTGTAATACAAAATGAATGCACAACCTAAAATAATGTTCTAGATTTGAAAGAAATAAAGAACAAAAGAAAGATCAATGTTTCTCAGATTTTTCCTGTAGTGAAATGACAAATAAAAATCTCATGGTGTATGTAATGACAGAAACTCATCTTTTCTTCTAGCTTTTAGGTTTTGTTTCTATAGATTCGAGCAGATGTAATAATATTTGAGAGGAGAAAAAGGAAAGAACTGAAATATAATTGCTACTACATAGGACAAATAAGCATGTTAACTATTAAATCTAATTTCTTCTCTAGCCTAACATAGCTAAACAGATAAGCTTTTCCGCTATGTCTATTCCTTTGAAAGGAACTGAGTAAAACACTAAGATTATTTGTTTTATTGCAGCCAGATCAACAGACTGTTGACATTGAACCAACTTCATGCCAAGTCCTTTCTCAAAATATTTGCTCTAATGGGATTTTTACCTGCCCTATAAAATTACTAGTTTCCCACAAGTAGATTTCATAACGTTCGTTTTTGCAGACATGAAATTGGAGATAAATACTATTCCCAGATGCTAAATACTCATACTATTATATTGCAGATCAATACTACAGCAGAATTCTTAACAAATCGTGGTGTGATTCATGAATTTATGGGTCAACGACAGAATGCAATGAAAGACTATCAAGCAGCAATTTCTTTAAACCCCAAGTACTCACTTGCTTACTTTAATGCAGGAAATATCTACTTTCACCACAGGCAGTTTTCCCAGGTAATGTGAGTTTTCTTAATATTTCCTTTTTGACATTAAATGCTTTCTTTATCATATATATAGTTTCAAAATGTAATCCTTACTATGTCAGGCTAATAATTCATTAATTCATTCACTCTTTTTTTTTTAAATGTTCCCTTTCATAGGGATGTTTATAATTATTTATTAAATGTTTACACCTCTGGGGATTTCTTCTCCTCATTATCATCAAACATTCAACGCTTGTCCAGTAAACAATCTTTTGGACTTTTCAAAGTGTTAGCACTTGCCTGGCTATATCTATTGAAACCAGCTTCCAGCCTGGAGTCCTTTGTTCTTTTCCCCCCTTAGACTTCCCTCAAGACCTTCCTTATGATGTGATTATCTAACTCATCTTAATTTATACCTTTTCTAAATTTCAGTCACATGATCACTTGACTGGGAGTGAGAAGATTTGGATTTTAGTTCTGGTTTTGTATGACCCCCCCCTTAACCTCTTTGGACCCCAATTCATAATGTCTGATATAAAAATGTTGAGTTATTAGATGATATTTTCTATTTTTGAATTTATTTGAATTGTGATGCATTTATAGGATTCAAACTCTTTTTTAATTTTTGCTTTTTATCTATAGTCACTCTTTTATTCTACTTCCCTTCAATTTCTCTTGTTCTTTGTCTATCTTTTTGAGTTGGAAACTTAGTTCATTTGTTATTACCCTTTCACTAATATTGTAATAAGTTACTAAAGGTTATGCCTTTTCCCCAAGTACTGTTTTGGCAGTATTCGACACATTTTGGTCCATAATGCTTGCTTGCTTGTTTTTTAACTCAGGTAGAATACACATTACAGATATTGAGGGCATTAGACCAATTGTTAAAAAATCAAGGCCATCCGTTGGTGTCTTTAGCTTCTAATTGCTTTATAGTTAATACTTTAGTATTACTTTACTAAAGTAATTTAGTAACTAAATTTAGTAATTTAGTAAAGTATTACTTCACTAAAGTAACTTTATATAGTTAATACTTTAGTAGGTGTCTTTAACCTCTAATTGCTTTATAGTTAATATTCCTATACTTCAAGTAACCTCACGAAGTTTGTAGGTTTTCATTTTCTAAGTAATATATTTTGGAAGCTATAATAGAAAGTTACATTGTACAAAGTTAGGTGTGCTATTGGTGTTTTACTGAGTTCTTTTCTCTTAGCCAAGGTAGGCATTTGTTCCTACATGGTTGAAGCTATGCTTTTGTGGTATATAATCGTATAGGTTTTATTGATCATTTATTGGTGAATTAAAATGAAGCCCAAATTACTTTATGAAGAAACTCTTGGTCCTGCTTGGAGTCTTTCCCTTGCCTCATCTCTGATGATTGTGAGTGAGCCTTCTTTTGAGGAGTGAATTCTCTTCAAGCTCTTCACAGATGGATGTCAATTATGCCCCATCTCAATAGATCCTTTAATTGTACTTAAATGTGGTATAGAATAGCTACCATCCAGGGAAGGGATGGGTTATAGGATCTTGGTCTAATTGCCTTTCCTTTCGAAAGTCAGAGAAAGAAAAGTTCATGTAGTATTACCTGAAGGCTATGTTGCTGCTCCACTTACAGACATTGGGAAAAAATGATACTTCAATAATAATTGATTGAGTGAGCACTACATTTTGCATATTGTTCTCAGTACTTTACATATTAGCTCACTTAATTCTCACATCAACACTGGAAATGGAATTTTATTTGTTACCTTTGTTTTTCAGATGAGGAAATTGATGCAAATAGAGCTTTGGTAACTCACCCAAGTTAGAGGCAGGATATGAACTCAGTAATCTGGCTCCATGGTCTGGGCTCCCAGCCACCATGCAATCAACGTTCCATATCACCCATAATGGAAGTGAATAGAGGACAGATCTTTGAGAAACAGAGAGGAAAATAGTTCAGTGAAGGAAATAGAAAAAATGATCAGAGAGGTAGGAGAAAAGCTAGTAAGACACTCTAGAGCAGAGAAGATTTTAAGAAGTAAGGAAAGATCAAGAGTGTCCATGTCAAAGAAATGTCATGGAAGAAAAGATCTAGGAAATGTCCGTTAGCTTGAGGACATTGGCAACCTTAGCAAGAGAAGAATTCATGGAATAAGGGAGATAGATAGAAGCCAGATTGTGGTGAACTGGGAAAACATTGAGTGGAAAGTAATTGGTGAATGACAAACTATACTGTGAAAAGTGACTTTCCCTTTAAGGTAAGTTTTAAAAAGTAGAAGCCAAATTTTCATCCATCAGGGTGTTAGAGAAAAGATTTCTAGCTTGAGTAGTAGGATGTCTAAACAGCATCTCAAACCATTTATGGTGAAGGACCAGTTCCCAAAAAAATCTGCGATTTATTGTAGATCAATATCCATTGCTAAAACACAATATGATCATGTGCTTAGATATCATAATCATGTCAAAATGTTATAGAAGTTATTTATTATTTACTCTCAATTTTGGTACTTACCTCTTTGCGGACCTGTAGCAAATGGCTCTTGGACCCGGACCACAACACTGGTCTGCACTATACATTTTGAGGACGATGATGAGTTTTGAATAATCTATACGATAATAGTCAAAGGGTCTTCTTGACAACCTGATTTTTCCTCTCCGTTTCTTATAATGTTTTATAGTGTAACTAAGTTTTATCCCTTTTGATATGGCTTAGAACCTTATTTTGAAAATTCATTTATCTGTTTAGCTCTTATTCTGTTTTTATAGGCAAACTGTTACTTTTCTCATTTGTATTTTACCTTCCTGTATGGCCTTCTTTTCTAATTTGTGTTTTATCTTTTTTTTTTTTTTTAAGTTATATACAGGGATATACGGTTTGAGTGGCAGGTAGTGGGAGAATTTCAACCCAGCAAGGAGGAGTATTTTATCATTGACATTGTTTGGAATTGCTGACACATGGTAATAACACAAAGCCAACTTTTGTTCAGTTTTATTATTGGTTTTTACATTCTTTGCAGACAATGCACCTCTGTATCTGGGCTGAAATGCTTCCACTGGCCCCTTGGTATACCATTGGCCTTAATTTTAAATTATGAATAAATGTGCTTAAAATTTTTGTATGGCTGCCAATGGAAATATATTCCAATTATCATTATCTTCACGTTTTATAGGCCAGTGACTACTTCTCAAAGGCTTTAATGTTTGATCCAGGAAACAAATATGTTCTCATGAATCGAGCTATTGCAAATACAATATTAAAGAAATATGAAGAAGCGAAAGAAGATTTTGCATATGCAATTGAAAGCTGTCCCTTTTGGGCTGCAATATATTTTAACAGAGCACAATTATACTGCTGTTTAAAACAATATGAACTAGCTGAGGAAGACCTTAGTAAAGGTATATTTTTAGTAATTATTTTGGTAAAATTACCGTTGTTGATGTGATTGTTTTTAGACAATAAAAGAAGAAAGTCACCAGGTCTTTTTGTCTAGATAAACTTACATAAGAATTAATGTTTTTAGATAACATGTCCTTAATGTAATTAATATGGATTCCTTTATGTAATATCTTTACTAACATCTTTGGTAAGCTGAAATATAAAGACTTATTAGGAAATCATACACAGACAATGCCAACCTTTCAAAGAAGGACATTATACTGTGTTTCCCCAAGATAGTTTTCTTAAAAAGATTCAATATTTTTAATTTGACTAGTTATGTTTGAGGAAACATGTTTTCATATAAATAATATCAAAGTTCTTATATTATAAAATTTTTTTTTTAAAATGAGATTATTTTTTAATGCTGGCATAAACATACCTTGAATTTTTTTTCTTTTGCAGCCCTGTCTTTGGTGCCTAATGATGCTGTAGTATATAATCTTAGAGCAAAAGTTCGTGGTAAAATAGGCCTGATTGAGGAAGCTATGGCTGACTATAACCAAGCACTTGATCTTGAAGAATATGCCTCAGTTACATAATTACATAGACTGTGGTTTCTGCAGTAATTTACAAAGCTGTTCTTCCTAAAACTGAAATATAATGGTTGTTTAAAAGGTTGCACTATTTTCATTATTGTATTCATTATGCCTCGTCTTCTGTATAACCCTTTAACACATTTTAACAAAATGGTACATTAATTATAAAACTTTTAGATTATTTTCTGAACTTTTGAAATGCCTCAATAACTGAATTTCTTCATATGATGCAGAGTTGAAATGGGAATATTTCTTAACACTTAAAATATTCTCTTTAAAATAATTTCCTTAATTTATAGAAAAAGTGTCTTTGACGTTTTCATCAATCCCTACTCGTAATATATTCAACAGTATCTAGATTTAAATGCATAAATATGGAGCTGAAAACTATAAAGAAACTGAATTCCAGTATATTTTCTCTCTCCTTTAAACAATGCGTATACTGGCCTGTATCCTTCCTGGTACCCACATTCTTCCCATAGATAAACATGTTTCCCTTTTACATGGTGCCTGCCTCCCAAGGCAGCACTTACAGAGATTCTGAGCATCCTGTTCCCTTGAGATAGTCCCCGTGCCTCTCTAATGCAGATTTCATAAACATATATAAAATCAGTATGCACTTATAACTAGTGCCTCATAGCAGTTGATGAGTAAAAATAAATATAAAACTGCTACAAATTTTTTTATAGAATGTTTCTGAGGGATCCTTGAATGAACCAGAGAGCCCCTTCCCTTTGCCTCACTGATAATAATAAGGCTTCCTAACTTTTAATTCATTCAGATTTGCTTCACTCAGTTTATTTTCCTTCTTGGTTTTACTTTTCCATGACCTGTTTTCATAGTGATCATGCATTTTAGAAAAAGCACTTCTATCCAGTCAGCTTCCTTTTAGTTTGATGCACCAGATTTTCACAATAGAAAATTGATTTTAATTTGTAAACCCTGAAACTGTACCATTTCAGGATAATTTTATTGGCATGATATGTGGGTTCACGTGAGGACTGAGTCATCCCCAATGAGTTATTTCAGTTGGTAAATCAGACACATTTAATAAGCTGCTTCAGATCCTGTTACCTTCACTTTGTCCCTGCCCCAGCCACAGATGAGAGTCAGACCAACCTCATGCACCTGTGCCTCCTGCCTGCGCCACACGTCTCTTGCTGACTGTCCTGAGGCTTCTTTGTCAATGCTGAGGTATTAGATGCTGCGGGTTTCTCTCAGTGCTCACCCATGTGTACTGTGGATATGCAGGGGACCCTAGTCCCTGTCCAATGAACCTTTGATAATGGGAGAAAGGAATTGATAGATAAATTCTAATCCCTTCCATCTCTTGGTGGAGTGTCCCGAGACATTCAGTTTCTATACCTTCCTGGAGGATGGTCCTGGGTGATTAAGCAACCAGTTGCACCTACCAGTGGCCACCTTTAAAAACACACCTCATACTGGTGCTTCTCTCTTCCCTGCCTCATTCCCTTTTTTTCACCATCCCTGGTTTCCTGGGATTGTACTTCTTGATGAAGTGATGGCACAGAAGCATTTGTCTCAGGCTGTAATTTCTGGGGGAGCCTAGGTTAAGACAATTCATTTTAATGTAATATATATATTTCTGAGACAGGGTCTTGCTCTATTGTCCAGGCTAGAGTGCAGTGGTATTGTCATAGCTCACCACAGCCTCAAACTCCTGAGCTCAAGCGATCCTCCTCCCTCAGCCTCCCGAGTAGCTGGGACTACAGTTATGTGCCACCAGGCCCAGCTAATTTTTGTATTTTTTGTAGAGACATATTTTGTCTGTTGCTCAGTCTGGTCTCGAATTCTTGGTCTCAAGCGATCCTACCACCTTAGCCTCCCAAGGGGTTAGGATTATAGACATGAGCCACCACACCTGGACAATTTAATATTTTTTATAATTATACACAAATACTTACAACATGAAGCAGGATGTGATAATGATGGGGAAATGATACCAAGGGTCACACGTCATGTCTAACTCGTCAATATACTTTATGTCCCCTTGTCCATAACCCCTGGGCACCCACAGTTGCTGTATGCACCAACAGTGCTCTACTGCAAGCACCTGGGATTTTCTGCCTGAGGCATTTCTCAGTCCATGCAGAGGCCAGGCCAGACTGGAGGAGTTAAGGATACTAGGAGCGACCTTCAGCTAATGACAGTTCGGGATTAAAGCATAAACTCTTCAGCTCCCTCGCCTCTCGGGGGAAGAACTCCCCCTGACTTCCCCAGTGGGACTGAGCCCCACTTGGCCGCAATATAACTTCTATAACACACCCTTTGTTGGCTTTTTCCCTTCCCTCTCTCACCTCCCTCTCCTCCGGCAAAGGCTTGTTGAGGGTGAAGTCTTATTTTAGTTTCAAAGCTCACTCTGCACTTCCTACTCCTATTCACCTGAAAAAAGCAAGAGAAGATAGACACAGTATTTATTATAATGATATTAAAGCTCTTTGTCTGCCTCTCTAATGATTTTAGTGCAGAAAAAGGATTTACAGTCTTTAGCACTTCTTTTTGTACTGGCATATGTATATTTATGCCTGTGTCTATCTGTCTATCTATCTGTCTATCTTCTGTCTATTTATCCATCCTAACTTTAGATAAATGCACAATAGTAATAAGACAATCTCAAGCTTTTAATTTGAAATATAGTCAATGTGCAATATCTTATATTTCATCTTTAATAGTAAAGGCCAGGTAGGAATTGACAGCAGAAAGGTAACATGTAGGTAGTAAGAAAGGGAGAAAAAGGACACCATCATTTGTTAAAAACCTGTTATGTATCAAATACTCGGCTATGGCTTAAGAACATTTCCACTTCACCCTTACCAGTGAGGCAGGTATTATTATTCCCATTTTACAGAGGAAAAAAATGAAGTACACAAAGATTAAATAATCAGTTTAGAGTACCCCTGACATAACAATGTTGCCCAAACTTTGTTCCACTTTTATTTACTCAATATGTTTCCTTAAATTGACTTGCTAATATTAATTGAATTTATTTTAAAAGAAGAAATTTGTAAAAATAAATGCATAATTATTAAAAATTTGTCCTTGTTCTAACCTAAAATGTCTATTTTTATACCTGAGTTATTCATATTACATTTTGGGAAACATTGTACTTAACAGTATTATTGTATTGTTGCTTGATGAGTGTAGCTGGAAGAGTAATCAGAGTGAGGGAGGGAAAGACATCTAATGCCTGTTGAGATGGGTGAGAAAGAGAATGAACAAGAAGCATAGGTTGATCGGTGCCTGGACAGGCAGGTCAGAGTCAGAAGCAATAATCTTGTACTTTGGGAGTCCCAGTATATATTCTTAGCATGAAGTAACAGTAAGATCTTACTCCTAGAAGTTCTCCAATATCATAAAAAATGTTCTGCTAGTCAATGTCTTAGAATCATTGATTTCCCAAAATAACAGGAACCTTAATGACCATTCACTGTGAGATCCCAGACAGCATTCAAAATCCCTTCCTCTTCTCATCTTTGCCTGACTAATTTATTCTCTGGAAGGAATTTTGTCCCCTATCCAGAGGGTGGCTTAGATCTTTTATTATATACTTCCACAGCACTGCCACCTACTCTTTGGGAACACCCCTCACCTGTGTATACCCTTGCTTAATGGCTGTCTTCCTCGCTAGGCTGGAAACCCCACGAGGGCAGGGATTATGTCTATATGTTCACCATTGTATCACCAATGCTTATCACAGTTCCTGGCACATAGTAGGTGCTTCATAAATATTGGATGAATTTATTTAAAGAAAAGACAGGTCTGGATACTCACACAGTATTACTCAACACAATACAGATTTATATTTTACTATTCATTTCTATGGCAAATCTAGGCAAACCTAGACTCTTCAAAGGTCCAAGCAGTGACTGCACACATCCTCAGTACGTTTCTTATTTAATATTTTGTCCTTAGTGTCTACTCAGCTTTCACTGTGCCTAACTCTCTCTCTCTCTCTCTCACTCTCTCTCTCTCTCTCTCTCTCTCTCTCTCTCTCTC